TGAAATTAAAGAATCGATCTTATTTTTCAAACCCCAGGATTGCTTCAATTTAAAAATTAATATATTAATCTAGCATCAGTCTTTTTTTCCCTCTTATGTCTGCCAAAGCACATAAAATAGGAATCCTTGAAATGATATAGGATATAGGAATCAAGCTCATATTTTAGAATACTGAAGCAAATGTGAATCAAACCTGTTAGCTCAACAGATGTTCTACAGCAGGGGTGTCCAAATTTGGCAACTTTAAGACTGTGGACTTCAACTCACAGAATTACCTAGCCAGCCATATCGGTTGGGGAATTCTGGGAGTTGAAGTCCACATATTGGACACTCCTATTCTACAGATACCACTGTAGACCTCTTGTAAGGATTTGTCTTGAAGTCTAATTTTTTTTTTAAAAAAAAACCCCAAATGTGAGATATCAAGCATGAAAAGAAGAAACATAAAAAAAATTCTTGCCTTATTTGAGGATTGACTCTTCGCCCATTGCGTCTAATTCAGCTTCTCCAGACAAGTGTGATAGGGCCTGGCTTCCAGTTTCAGCTACAGAATTCTAAGGACCGCAGTTCTGTATAACTCTCTGGTTAGAGGCCTGATCTATTGTGGCAGGCTAAAAGTCTCCTGAGTCTTGGAGAGAGATGTTTCTCCTCATCTGCTACTACATCCTTTACAGTTGGAGACTTAGAAATTTAGATATTCTCACATTATTTATTTGTTTATTATTCCACCTTTATTGTTTACTCAAATAACACAAGGTGGCAAACATATCCAACACACCTTCTTCCTCTTATTTTCCCCACAACAACAGTCCTGTGAGATGGATTGGGCTGAGAGGGAGTGATTGGCCCAAAGTCACCCAGCTGGCTTTCATGTCTGAGGTGAGACTTGAACTCACTGTCTCCTGCTTTCTAGCCTGGTGCCTTAATCACTAGGCTGCAACTGGCTGTCCTACATAGCAAAATGTCCACAGTCAGGGAAAAATAGCAAATCATTAAAAAAAAAAAGCTTTTAGTTTCTTCCCCTTAGCAGGGGTCTTCAAACTCGGCCCTTTTATGACTTGTGGACTTCAACTCCCAGAATTCCTCAGCCAGGCATGCTGGCTGAGGAATTCTGGGAGTTGAAGTCCACAAGTCACAAAAGGGCCGAGTTTGAAGACCCCTGCCTTAGAGTAAAAAGTCAGGACTATCTGTATAGCTCCCATGAAGCCGGGAACTGAGAAAGAAGAATCAACTGCTAAAGAATAGAATTTGGTCTACTTGCGTTTCAGAGGTGGGACAGACACAATCAGCCTGAATTTGGGAGCTTGCGTTGCTTTATATCAAGAATTACCTTGCTTCCATAGGTCACATACCGGTAGGTGCAGTCTTTATATCATTTCCACCAGCAGCAGAAAGTTGTGGACTGTAGTTTTAACTGACTTTTTAAAAAAATGTTTTAAAAATAGAAAATAGAAAATCCTCATGGTTCTCCTTCTCTACTGTATTTTTAAAACACAATATGGTGTATTTACGTTTAGCTTTTTTTCCCTTTGTTCTTTATTTCAGTTTCTGCTGCTATTACATTGCTTTGTCCGTAATTTTATTCTGTCTTCCACAAAGGTGAAATGCAAGGATTTTTTTTTCAGACTGCACTGATGATCATTGATATCACAGGTGTTTCACTCACAATTTCTTGCTGTCAGAGACTGTGTGAAGCAAAATGTGATATATTTGCTTTTTATAGCTTATCTTTCTACTCAATTTGAGCACTTAAAGCAGTGAGTATTCACTCTTTCTCACTCTTTGTTGAATTGTTATGAAATGGAATCACGTTAGTGATTCTAAGCCATGCTCTGTTACTGAAGCAAGAAACAGACCAAATTTTCAGCAATTTCTGTGCAGACATTAACTATGTTTCATGGTATGCCGGCATTTATTTATACTCCGATTCCATTTGTAAGGTTAAAACCATGGAAAATAAATTATACTGTTTCAACTGTAATGCTAGAAAAGGTTATAGCCTTATAATCTGGATCCCAACAATAGTATGGCAGATAGCATTAATAGCAACTGCCCTTATTTTTATCTGGAAAATGTAATCCAGAGATTACAGTGCCCATCACAGAAATATTGATGGATTTCAAGACAACAGTTCCAAAGCTGTCATAATCATGCAGGAATATTATCAGCTTTTGATGTAATAAGCTATCCTTCCCAAATCTGGGGATTTCTAGGTTTTTGAAACTACAACTCCCAGATTCTCAGCTAGCGTCGCTATTGCTGGTAGGCAGTAGGTTAAAACTACAACAGACTTGAATAGGATGATTGATGCAATAGGCTCATCTGTTGCAGTAGGCAATACCCAGGATCCCAAAATTCTGTCTGTACTGGTAAAGGGAGGTTTCAATGCAAGAAGATGGCCCACCACCCCTTAAAATCTCTTAAAATAAGAGAAATTTGCTGGTAACCAGCAGATTAAGGAAATGTTTGTAGCCTGTGCCTTTCAAGCATAAAAAGAACACTTGCAAACTCATGTAAATACAGTATGCGCATTTTTACATCACTCTCTCATTAGGCTCAGGACATTTTGTCTCACCATTAGAAGTCTTGACAGAATTCCAATATTGTATGTTTGTGGATCTTATGCAGTGTTTTACTGAATTCTGAACCACACTGCTTTCTTAAGAAACGTGCCAGCCACAAGCAGCAAAAATCAATCAGAAAAGAGAGGGACATTTCTTTGACCTTGAAGAAGTTCAGCTCTAGATAGCCTGCTATCTTTGTCATGTGCATGAGGAAAGGGTAAGAAAATTTCAACTTCTTGCAAACTGAGAGACGAACGATGACCCACCTACACCCAACATTGAACTAAACCAGCTTGATGTTCTACTAAGATCATAGTAACATGCTATCCATCTTGTATATCAGGCTCTGTGTTCATCTTCTAACCCAACAAACAGGGGTTATTGTCATCAGTTGGAGCTAACCATGGAGGGCTATTACTGTTGGGATTCAGTTTGCATACATCTGCTTTCTGAACAGAGGCCACTAAGAACTGTAAATGTAAAGGTAGCACTTTTATCTCGGTTCCAGCTATAAAAATAATTTTTGTCTTTATGTAACATATTTCCAGTTGGTTAGACTCATATTTTAGGGGTTTTAGCACTCCCTTTCTCAGTTCAATCCTCTTTCTCTTTTGATCCTATGTAGTTTAGGTACTCACCATAATGGAAGAGAGGAAACTGCAGGCTTTTAGCTGTAGATCAGTGGTTCTCAACCTTTTTAATGCCGCGACCCCAACCGGTCGTAAGTCGAGGACTAAACCGGTCGTAAGTCGAGGACTAAACCGGTCGAAGGCGAAGACTAAACCGGTCGTAAGTCGAGGACTACCAAACCGGTCATAAGTCAAGGACTTTCCCTGCCCGGGAGCGCCACGCATGCATGGTTCCGCCCCCTGCGCCGGCCGAGGCGTAGCTGGCAAGCGGCAGAGACGGAGCAGGCCGACCACCAGCTGACCCAGCCCAAGGGAGGTAAGGCACTCGCCGGAAAAGGGGAAAAAAATGGCGGACAGCCTTGCTTGGCGACCCCCGTGAAATGGTCGATCGATCCCAAATGGGGTCCCGACCCACAGGTTGAGAACCACTGCTGTAGATGGACTTAAATAATTTCTGTCATGGACTTAAAACTACTAAAATTACTTTTCTTTTGCACATCACTAGCCTTTATACCTCCTGATTGTATTCATAATTTCAATGTTTCTTTTTTCCCCCCCTGAATTCTTTCTTTTTTATAAAGCTATCTGCTTCTCAACAGCTAAGAGGTGAGGTAGGGTGCCCCTTGGCGGAAAAATAAAAGAAGGTGAAAGGCACATTATAAACGTGTGCATTGCTTCATCACATTGCAGCAAATTCCTGAGTTTACCTCCTCCCAAACTTACCATTTGGCCGTGTTTTTTTTACATCTTCATAGGAGACTCCTACATAGGAAGCGGGATAGTTTCAGACAATTTTTTCCCCCAAAAAAATAAGATAATTCAAGCAATTACCCAAAGATTCAAGAATTTAGAGAAGTGAAAAAAGTAACAGTTCTTGGAAAGCCCAAAAACAATTACCACCGACATATGTGATTGCATTTGTATAAATGTATTTCTTATTTTAATGTAAATATACTTCCTCTGCCTATAATACTAGATTATATGTCTCAAAAGTTACTTACCCTCATCAGTTATATTTACACCTCATGTTCAGGGCAAGAGAATCTAAAATTCCATTCAGGACAATGTATCTATAAAGCCAAGCTGACTTTCTCCAAATATAAATGAAATGTAAAAATTAAGATCAGCATATGTTTATTTTTCCCCAGAGTCCTTAGCATGCTACAATAACCTGACAATTTTAATTATGTGTTCATTTTTTTTCACAAGACAGTTTCATGCAACTTACAGCTGTTATTTACTTTACATTGACGCTATAATATTGTTTCATCAAGCCATGTGAAAAGCATAGGATTTATGGTGCCTCCAAAAAAATATCTCAACTGGAACCACAGGTGGGCAGTTCATTCTTAGTCTTTTTATGACTCATGGGTATAACACCAGGACAGTGATGGTCATAAAGTCAGCAAGGTCACTGCTTAGTCCTCTTGCTATTTAATTATTTGCTTTTTAGTTGCTTATTTATCCTGAGGAGTCCTTTTGTTGAACACTGCATTCAAGACAATAGCAACATTCCCAATGGTGTGTAAAAGATAAGACAAATTTGCTCTTCTTTAAATGTTTTACAACCCCCCACAGTTTCTTACATGTGTGTTTAATTATTTTTCAGTAATACACATTCAGCACTAAAGGCATGAAATAGTAAGTATTTGGCATTTTTCAGTTGAAGTGCAAGAAATAAAATAAATTATGTCTTTATTGCTAACAGAGTAACAAGCAGAGTCCCTTTTTTCCTGCAGATATATATGACCCACCATTTCTTTTGTTGGAAGTCCAGCATTTCTGCCACATTGAAAAATGTCACGGTAAATAATCATTTTACGAAGATGTGTTTAATATTCTAGAATCTGAGGAATCAGATCTTTCATCATAGTCATCTTCTGTATAAATGGGTTGCTTTGCCACAATTGGACATCCATCCTCTTGAAGTGAGATTCTAGGATCCTCTGATGGGCGTGTGGGAAGGACAGGAGAACTTCGGAAGACCGTGGCAGAATTAGCAGAGAAGGGGCTGACATACTGAGACCTCAGCTGATACTGCTGCTGAAGCGTCATGGTGTTCCACAAAGTAACATCATTGGGTAGAAATGGACTGGACTGGTTCCTGGCCAAAGTATTCCTCAACATTAATGGATACCGGGGAGGTTGTGGGAAGGGATGCTGTAATGGAACAGCCAATGGATTTGGTACAACATTACTAGTATCAGCAGAAAACCTCAGTGTGTCTGGGACTCGAAAAGCAGACCCTACTGACCATTTTGAAGAGGAAATAGGATAGGAGCTCAGTGTGTGTTCAAAGAGGTGCCCATTTGAAGGCAAAACCAGGCCTTCTGATTCTGCAGAAGTTCTGTCTCCTCCCCCTATGGAGGATCTGCTTGACAGGAGGACCTCAACAGCACTCACCAGGTCACCCCCACAGCCTTTCAAGATTAACTCAAGCACGGTTGGCTTTTGGTTAGGGAATATTTTCTTTAACACTTCAAGGGGTGGCCGGTTGGCTTTTAAGCCAAATGGCAGAGAAACTGTCCCTGATGGACCTTCAATCAAGAAATGGTTCTGCTCCGGTTGATACTTAGGGCTTTCGGGTCTGCTGTCAGTGCTCCCACTGTTTTTCTGGACTGCATAACCACCCTCATCAACGGAAACTATTTCAGGGCTCTCAGGAGTGAAGTTGCTCTTGGTCTTGGTCACCTCTGGAGAACTCCTTTGGTCTGTATCTTTGTCACTGTAGGCCTCAGTACTGTCTCCTCCACTGACGTCACCCAGTTGCTCTTCTGTCATGTCTACAAAACAGAGAGCAGCTTTGTTATGCCACTGAGAACAAAGACGTTATCATTTCTGTGTACATTTTTTAAGTGTCACAAGCACTGAATTCTTCAGATTATAAATAAATTGTTCTAGATTACAAATATTAAAAAGGTGTTGATTTATAACAGAGACAGGGTATTGGCCCACTTAATCCATTTATAATTACTTTGGTTATTGATAAGACCCTTTTATTTATTTTCTGTTATGCTTTGCTTATCCCATAGACCACCATCACAATAAATTGGAAATGAAAATAAGGAAATCATGTCCCTATTTGCTACTTCCCATAACTCTTGTTGTAGACCACTTACCTACTATACCACTACAATACTGTATGTTCATACAATTATATAACTAAAAATAAACCAACTGTATCATTGAAGCATTTTAGGTTGATTTATGAAGAAACTTTGAGGCAGACTAGAATCTGTGATTCATTAACACCAAATGATTTACAAAGGAATTACAGTTTTTTCTTTTAGTCAAAGTCAACTGAGAAAAAAGTATTATTTATTTGTGGTCCATGGCATTGCTGTGATAAACTACTCTATCAATCAACCATCACTAAATCCTGAAGAGAATCTTAAAACTTTGGCCACTGTTGTCAAAACATAGGTCAAAGACCGCCTTGAAGCATTCTGTCTGGAAAACGTGTGCTCTCATCTTTATTAATTTCCAAAATAATTGTTTTGCATTTCTGAAACCTCACCATGGTTCACCAAAGGAGAAGGAAGAAGGAGAAAAAGACAGCTAAAGTAAGATTTTTCCTTCCAGAATGCTTGTCTGATGAGGAACTCTTAAATATTCAAAAGTTTCTGTATTGTTTAATAAACCCCCAATTGGTATTAGTAAGGGCTAGAGTTTGGTTGATTTGGGATTGCCTTTTCTGTGCATTTGATTTTCATATCTGCTATGATTAAATTGAAATAGTGCTTTTTAAAAATAATCTTGACAATTTTGCAATTTCCTTTAGCTTCACTTACATGACTTGGTGTACTTGGCACTTAGCAAATAAATAAAATAAAATAAAATAATAACAACACGAAGCAAAACAAAAACCAGCCAATAAATTAAGATTACACACTAATCCTGAAATTTGCCTTTATTTGATTTCTCTGTGCAGTTCACCTAGCCACACCTCTTTATGACACAACCACAGACAACATGAATGGGTTTTGTTGAATGAAATGTCCTGTACCATGTTTTCCTAGACACTCCTTCATTTAAGCCTATATTCTTGGGTTTACATCTTGCTACAATAGCACAAAAGAAATACCAGCTACCTGAAATGCACTTGTTTTTACACACCAGACTGGGGTAGGCAACCCTTTTTGATCTAAAGGATGTATTCAATCTCATGTAGTTTGCTGAGGTTCCACTCACTTGTGGCAGGCAAAAAAACTGTCAGAACCCAGAAACTAACAGGCAAGAAAAAAACCCCGCCAGGATACGTATCTATTACATGAATAACTATAAATTATACACTTTATATCATAATCTTAACTACATGTAAATCCTAAAATCTTTAATATATCAACTCCCCTTTCCCTCACCTTTAATCACTTCAGTTAACTTATTCTAAATATTCCACAGACTGCTTCCAAGTAGTTTGCCATTTAAATTTAATTTTATGTAAAAATGATTTGGGGATTCAAAACATCTTTCATTATTACAAATAGATGTCTGTTTCATTTATTTATTTAAAGAAAGTGGGAGGAGAAAGATAAGAAAGATAAGTAGAGAAGGTTGTAACCAAAATAGTTTTGGAAAAGTAGACATGCTTGTTCATTAGCACATTTGTAACAAAGATAAAATAAATATTTTATCTGAATCTCCAATTATTCACAGCAGAGTATATGAATGTTCATATTGCAATAGATAGAAACAAACCTAAATGGGATTCAAGAAGCATTACATTTTTAAAATGCCAAATCTTTCAGGTGAAGATTTTGTGTGTAAGAATTCAATTAACATTGCTTTAAAAATATTCACATTTTTCACATACATGATTTTGCTAACTGAACAACAGTTATATCTGAAGAATTCCAGATCTGTTTATCAAATTATATCCTATGTTGTTAAGCCTATGTTAAAATTGCAAGTCATCCTAAGCGTTGGTCTAAATCTCAGATATTATCTCTTTTTTTTCCTTCAAGAATCCATCTCACCTGCTGGATTCACACATGCCTTTAATTCACACATATAACTGCTTTAATTTTACATTTGCTAAAACTGACAAAGTGGATCCATATCAAGTTTCTTCTTGAAATCTCCAGAAGTAGCTTGAAGCTAAGTCCATGTCCCCAGCAATCTCCCACAGAGAACTAGATCATCCCTTTTCATTCAAACAAACTACCTTAAAAGATGTATACAATAAGTCACTCAAACGTGGGCATTTGCACAAAGCTAAATATTTGTATCTGTTCTGGTCCATTTACTCTTTTTTGATATTTAAATTAATGAGGGCTTTATTTGCTGTTTTAGAGCACTTATCAATAATAATTTTCCTTCTGAGAATGATTACGTATGTAGAATTTATACACAGATGATGTAAACCAGGATTATCCAACCTTGGCAACTTTAACAACTGTGGACTTTAATTCCTAGAATTCTATGGATTCTATGAGTTCCCTAGCCAGCCAAATCCCCAGGTCTTTAAGTTGCCAAGGTAGGACAACCCTGGTGTAAACATATCTGTTGTTTATTTGTTTTTGGCTTTATGTGTCCTGTGAACCCTGCCATTGTGATTTATAACCCATGTTTCCAGCTTAACTTGTTCTGTAAATCCAGCCTATTGTAGTTTATTTAACAATCCATACTTAGGCCTGTCATGGTTTAGCATGATGTCTGAACTCGGTCAGTAATTCTTTCAAAACAAGTAAAAGAACTTGGAGAAGCTGGATCTCCCGTTGAAGCCTTGGCCAAAAGGACCATCCATCATCCAGCCAGCCAGCAGCAGCAGCAGCAGCAGAGCCCCCTGGAGCATGCAAGGATCTTTGATGGATGGAGATATCCTTCTCCTTTCTCCTAAATGTTAAGCATAAAGTGCTGACGAGCTGGCAGGGAAGAATTTCTCATCGATGCGCTTTGATTATATTTGGTAAAGAAAATGCCTGTTGCCTGGTAACATTTCACTTGAGCCTGACCTACTCCAAAAGTTATTGCTACCAGATTCGATTTACACTGTCCTCTGGTGATTACTGTAATCTTTTAAACTGGGAGGTTCATACATCAGTGGGGCAAAAATTGTGTGCTTCTCCCCCTCAGATTTATAAGCTTTGAAGAAGAGTCAGGCGAAGGAGTCTGTTTCCTCAAGCAATGGAGAAATCAATACAGCCCTCAAATCTCTCGCGACCAGGAATGTTGCCCACACACAACATGTTAAGACCACAACCTCACACGATGTTTCAATATCCACCAACAGAAACCATGGGAACCATCCAATGAATCAAGCAACTCGGCACTAGAGACAATCTTGCAAAGACAACAACGTAAGTTGAGGATGAGTACAGACAGAGATAACTTGGCAGGAAACTGAAAACTAACACGTCATACATATGCACCCATCAAAGCTATGAGCATTTAAATCTCATTGATTTCAGCATGTGCTTACATTTCTCCCAGGGCAACAGGCTGGCCTCCAGCTGGCTATTAGCCAACATGATTACAGTACAGTACATTACTTCCTTAGAACTGAGAAAGGAGAACTCTAACGATTCCTAGGATTAGGGAATGAATTTTAACTACTGCAATTATAATAAATGTTCCATAGAACCAAGTATCATGGTACAGCTAGTAAAGCTTTGATTGAAGCAAATATTTTTTGTGTCATCTCACTAATTACTTTCTACTCAAGGATTGTGTCAAGGAATCTTCACCCATTCAATTAAATCAATTAAATCAATGGAATAAAAATAATCCTAGGGAATTGTGTTGCATACTTTTCTTTTCGAGTAAGTTTTGATTTAAACTGAAGTATTTTGTGTAATCCATCTTGTATACGGCACTTATCATGGACGATGATAGGGTTTGAATAGTTCTGACATGGTCACTGATATCTCTATCAGATAAAAGCAGGAATAAACCATGTTATTAAATTGCCAATTTATTATCCTCTTCCTGTTTAGGCAAAGTTACTGGGAAAGGCAGAGGCCTATTTCAAAAGAATATCTTATGCAGCTAAGAATTACAGTATTACATGGTTCTGAAGCAACAATATAACAATACACCACCACCTGGAAAGTTTCCTAACATATTATTTCCCTTGATTTTAGCTAGGGAAAACCAGGAGAGAAATGCTAGCTACATTTTCTTTCTGGAAAAGGATGTCACTTCTAAGACCACAAAACTACTCTAATAGCTCCCTTCCTAATCTCCAGCAGCAGGACAGGATCTTCTTCACTGTCCCAGTTACAACCTCTCCCTTAATGGTGAAATCACTAGACACACACGGCTGCACAAACACTGTTTGCCATTAATTAAAACTCCACCTTCCATTAATTTCACACAAAAAAATCCCTCAGCAAATGCAAAAAGAAATACAAAAAAAGACCAGGTCTCCTTACCCAGATAGTAAAAATAACAAGTATGGCAAAAACCTTAATGAAGGATACGGAGCTAAGGATGGGGAGCAGTTTCTAGTAGGAAAAGATGGCATTTTAGAACATGCTTCCATATGAATTTGAAGATGCAGCGCCCAGAATGTTATACACACTATATTGCCCCAAAGAAAACATTTGATAGAAAATGTTTGATAGAAAATCCACAAGAGTCTGATGCTGGCAAGGAGCAAGTCTTGCCAGTGTCTGTGTGCAAACAGATGTTGTGCAAGTGTCAAATCTGAGTTCTTCAAATTACGGACATTTGCAAACAGAATTTAAACTCCTAAAAATGTGCAGCTGGATTATTTGCTTGCTCAGGAGGAAGCCTAATCAAAATAAAGGAAACTGCAACAATTCTGTGCAGGTGAATTCAGTCTGTTGAATCCCATGAGACTGTTCCCAGGTAATGCCCACAGTACTGCAGTCTCTCTCCCCCCCCCCACCTCCTTGGTATGCTCAGAATGGAGTCTTGGCTTACCATACACTTTTTATAAAAGATTAAATGGAGACTCCAAACCAGGGGTAGCAAACTATGGCAACTTTACAACCTGTGGACTTCAACTCCCAGGAGTCTGGCTCAGGAATTCTGGGGGTTGAAGTCCACAAGTTGTAAAGGGGCTCACCTCTGTTCCAAATACTTCTTTGGAAATATGTGTGTGTGTGTGAGAGAGAGAGAGGGGGGGGAGGGAGAGAGAGAGGGAGAGAGAGGAAAGAGAGAAAGAGAGGAAAAAGAGAGAAGGAGAGAGAGAGAGACAGAGAGAGAGACAGAGGAAAGAGAAAAAGAGAGAGAGAAAGAGAGAAAGAGAGAAAAGAAAGAAAGAGAAAGAGAGAGAGAAGGAGAGGAAAGAGAGAAAGAAAGAGAGAGGAGAGGAAAGAGAGAGAGAAAGAGAAAGAGAGAGAGAAGGAGAGGAAAGAGAGAAAGAGAAAGAGAGAGAGAAGGAGAGGAAAGAGAGAAAGAGAGATCCTCTGAATATGTCACCTCTGAACACTGTATATATTTTTCCCCAAACGTCCTCTTTTCTGCAATCAAAATGTTACAGAGGCTCATAGGAAGGCCTCCCACAGCATCTAAATCTGTATTTACTATGGAGGTGGAGCAGGGAGAAAATCCAGAGGCATAAATGAAAGAATCAGACGTGGGAACAGATTTTGGGTTAACAATTTGAATTCTCGTTCGTGCGTGTATTTTGCTTCAAATTTTGCGCAAAAGTTCAAGTTATACGAGTCCCCAAAAGACAGCCGTTTTGTCTAGATTTCGATAATGTATTAAAGGGTGTGAGTGGGAATTACAATTGCTAAGATCTGTTCAGAGATGGGGAGAAGAGAAACCTGGCGGGAATCATTCCCCAGAGTCTGTATGATGGCTATTTGTGGGTAAGGGGCGGTTTGGCTTGTCTTACTAAAAGAACAGAGGCGAGCGGCTTTTGCTCAAGGCTTGCAGACCGACTCGCAGCCCAGGACTGATGGCCGGGCTGGACAGGACCGGAAAGCGGGAAAAGGAGGTATTCCCCGAAATCTTCCTAATCCGGACGATTAGTTTATGCAGAAACCCAGCGCCGAACCGGACTGAGTCGGAAGAAATATTCTGGGGCAAGATAGAATTTGCCCGCAAAAAAAAATAAAAAATAGGGAACATCGTCTTTTGAGTTTTGATTTTCATGGATAAAAACGACCGAGCCGCAGCTCAACTTTTGGAAAAGGGACAGCAACATTCCCGAGGTCCAACTCGTGGTCTCCCGGGACTGTTTCGGGCGCGGGGGGAGCTCCTGTTTCGCGCTTCGCCTCTGGACAGGGAGGAGGAGGACGAGGTGCTGAGAGCAAAGTTCCTGCCACGGACAGCCTAAATGTGCGAAATAGTACTGTCTGAGGAAGTGCACTCCCGCGTTTTGTTCCCTACACACACACAGAGAGAGAGAGAGAGAGAGAGAGAGAGACAGAGACAGAGACAGAGACAGAGACAGAGACAGAGAGAAAGAAAGAGAGAAAGAGAGAGAGAGAGAGAAAGAAGAAAGAAAGAAAGAAAGAAAGAAAGAAAGAAAGAAAGAAAGAAAGAAAGAAAGAAAGAGAAAA